TACATTAAAATTACACTTTGTAAGAATCACAATTTCCGTTCAAAGTATTACAATAATTACCATTAGTAACAATCATTTTATCAATTGTATCACAATTTCACATATAAATATTACACTATTTATTATAAATAACAATTTATTTATTTCAAATTGATATTAAATTTATGTAATAGGTATTATAATGTCTATCATAACTAACAAACAAATATCCTATATTTAACGTGCCCCACATAAAAGTGACTCTTTTAAAATATATATCAATACAATCATTTTACTGCTAAAAAAATTATATTTATTTTTGTAGCCCCTTCCATCACTATGATTTTGTTTTGTGATTCTTCTTGTAATTAGGCAAGTTAACTCCCCCTCACATTTAAATATTGACAATAAACTTTCTTATAAAAAATGTTTTATCCACTATAAATATATGTAGAGTCAATTATGTGAAAAACGTAACTTTTTTTTTTTTTTTTTGAAAATCACTAACTCAATCGAATATATTAACCAAACTATAAGAAAAATGAAAGGAACACCTTCCCAGTTCATCCGACGTGCAGATTGAGAGCCATTCACCTTAGCTAAAGTATGAGCGGACTAGTTTGCTGACCGAGAAATATATTGTAAAGCGCAAGACAACAACGATTCAACGAAGTACGAAGAATTTTATTTACAATAAAAAATAACAGAAACTAAATAAGTAGTAATTTCCTTATGGTAGGGGCTTACTTGTCATTATACAGCCTGTAGTGCAGTGTACCAAACACCTGATTCTCATACACTATAAAAGACAGTGCAGAATGAGAGTGCGGCAAAAATCTCATTTCCCCTCACGCACAGTCGCCGCATCCCATTTTTCCTCAACCTCGTATAACTACTCATGGCGGCGCCGGCGCCGACTTCCTTCTCTATATCCGCCTCCTCCTCTTCCGCCACCGCCTCTAAAACCCTAAAGCCGTCTACTGCAGCCGTCCCACACAGCCTAGGATCAATTTTTTCCTCCAACCCTTCCTTAAGATCGCTTCGGGCTCGGGCTCTTCCGGCCATTCGCTCGACCTCCGGCTCTGCACTCGCAGCTCGCATGGTCGCCGCTCCAGCCTCCATCAAGTCGCCGACTTCCCTCGATTTCGAGACCTCCGTATTTAAGAAGGAGAAAGTCTCCCTCGCTGGCCACGATGAGGTATTCCTGTGTGCTTCTATGTATATGTCTCTACTCTCTATGTTGAAATGAATGGTTTGGCCTTAATGTTTGGATTCTGGTGATGTAGTACATTGTGAGAGGAGGAAGGGATTTGTTCAATCTGTTGCCGGATGCATTCAAGGGAATTAAGCAGATTGGAGTTATTGGCTGGGGTTCACAGGTGAAGCTTCATTCATTAATTGTTTCTCATTTCGAATCGAGCATATGGATCAAAAGCTATTAGCTACACTTTTCCTCACATCCTATTTGATTAAATGATCGATGATCCGTATAACTGTATAAGTTCACCTTGTTTTGCTATTTGTTACAATGTATTCGCAGGTCGTCTTCTTTTTTAGTGTATCTTATTTATAAATAAATTAGATAACTTTCAAGTTGTGGAATGCTTATATGATAGATTAAAAGGCTAAATTAAATGTTTTCTCCATGTCCCGTGTACTGCCATTACAAAGACCATCAGTTTTAAATGAAAATCTCCATGTGCTATGTTCATATAAAACGAGTGTCTGCTCTGGGTTACATCTTCTTGTTCATATTGTGATGAAAGCATTTGTTTTTTAAGTTTGGCTGTCATTTTTTTATCAATATAATTAAATCTTCTTGTTGGTGTTATGTATTTGACAGGGACCTGCTCAAGCTCAAAATTTGAGGGATTCTCTTGCTGAAGCAAAATCTGACATTGTAGTCAAGGTGATAATACTTCTATCCCTCTTCTTCTTAAATCAAGTAAAGAGTAGAACGATAAGAATGAAAGGGAAGTGAATGAGGGAAAAATTCAATTATTTCTGCACATTTTTCTCAATCTTTTTTTTTTTTTTGAAAAATAAATTCATATATTTCATTTTGCCTGTCTCATGTGGAGCTAATTAAGTATGCACATTTGTTTGTGCAGATTGGTTTAAGGAAGGGTTCTCGCTCCTTTGATGAGGCCCGGGCTGCTGGGTTTACTGAAGAGAATGGAACCTTAGGGGACATATGGGAGACTGTTTCTGGCAGTGATTTAGTGCTTCTCTTAATTTCAGATTCAGCTCAGGTTGACACTTCTACTGAGCCTCAGCTGCTGACATGCAGTCTTATATTTGACTATTCATGTCCTGCATTTTTCACTGCTTATTCAATGTCCTTATAGAATTTTAGGATATTTTCTGGACCTCTGTGCCTCTTTTAGGAAATAAAATAATAACATTTTTTATGCTCATTCTCTGATTTAAGTAAGTAATACTTACAATGTTATTGATCGCCCTTTGATTATGTTCTCTTTTAAGTTTTAATTTTTTGGATTAGGAAGAGTCTTTTCACATAACTGTCGCTTTCTGCATTCAACACGTCATTTCAGTATGATATTTAGTCTGAATTCTGTGATGCACTGCAGGCTGATAACTATGAAAAGGTATTTTCACACATGAAGCCAAATAGTATTCTTGGGCTGTCACATGGATTCCTTCTTGGCCATTTGCAGTCAATGGGTCTGGACTTCCCTAAGAACATTAGTGTTATTGCTGTATGTCCGAAAGGAATGGGCCCTTCAGTGAGGAGGTTGTATGTGCAAGGAAAAGAAATCAATGGTGCTGGAATTAATTCAAGTTTTGGAGTCCACCAGGTCTCCAAAGTTCTCTCTTTCTTCCATCCTCTTATTTGGTCCCTTGGCCTCCTGTTGTATGGGATATGTCTTACTCTATTTTCATATGCAGGATATTGATGGCAGGGCCACTGATGTTGCCCTTGGGTGGTCAGTTGCCCTTGGCTCCCCGTTTACTTTTGCTACTACTCTAGAGCAGGAGTACAAGAGTGATATATTTGGGGAACGAGGTGAGATACATCCTATGTTAGTTTGTTTGAACTATTTAATAATCTTGGCTAAAAAATTTTCATTTCATTGTTAGGGATTTTACTCGGTGCCGTTCACGGCATAGTCGAGTCTCTGTTTAGAAGGTACACTGAACATGGAATGGATGAGGAGCTTGCCTATAAGAACACTGTGGAGTGCATAACCGGAATCATTTCAAGGACCATATCAACACAGGTTGGTTCTTGCTTTAAGTTCCTTAAACTTTAAAATTCTTGGTTTCAACAGGCTCCTTTGTCTGAAGCCATCTTGAAATTCTTATGATGTTTTCTATGATATTCCTTACTGTGCTTTTTAATAGGGCATGTTGGCTGTGTACAACTCATTGAGTGACGAGGGAAAGAGGGAATTTGAGACTGCATATAGTGCTTCATATTACCCTTGCATGGATATCTTGTATGAGTGCTATGAAGATGTAGCCACAGGCAGTGAAATTCGGAGCGTTGTCCTGGCAGGGCGTCGCTTCTATGTAAGTTGGTTCCTATACTTCTAAAGAACTTTGGGCCTGTTTGGTTTAACATATAGAATAACTTTTACTAATTAAATTCGTTGTTTGGATATGTACAATTATGGAATTGGAATCAAAGTTTTTGTGAGTGAATTATTTGTAACAATGTTGGTAATCGTCACAGGAAAAGGAGGGTCTACCAGCTTTCCCAATGGGCAAAATTGACCAGACACGGATGTGGAAAGTTGGTCAGCGTGTGCGAGCAGTCCGCCCAGCTGGTGATCTTGGTCCTCTATATCCCTTCACCGCAGGTGTCTATGTAGCATTGATGATGGCTCAGGTGAGTTCCATTTTTTAGAGTTCCTTGTCAGTATTTTTCGCCACATGTAGATTTTTAAAAATGGATTTCCATGTCATTAAAGGAATCATCATTTGAACATCCTATTTTTTGGCAACTATAAACAGATTGAGATTCTACGGAAGAAAGGGCACTCGTACTCTGAGATCATAAACGAAAGCGTGATCGAGTCTGTTGATTCCCTGAATCCTTTCATGCATGCTCGCGGAGTTTCATTCATGGTTGACAATTGCTCAACAACGGCACGTCTAGGATCAAGGAAGTGGGCGCCTCGATTCGATTATATTCTCACCCAGCAGGCACTCGTGGCCGTGGACAACTCTGCTCCCATCAACAGAGACCTCATCAGCAACTTCCTCTCAGACCCTGTGCACGGTGCCATCGAAGTTTGTGCCCAGTTGAGACCCACTGTCGATATATCTGTTCCTGCAGATGCCGATTTCGTCCGTCCTGAACTGCGCCAGTCTAGCAACTAAGAGTTGTAGTCTTAAGAGTTGTTGAAGACTACCACAACACCACCCCCTAAACGGCCATGGATTAGTGTTTCTTCTTTTCTTTTTCTTTTTGGTGGGATGTTGTAAGAGTCTGAAACTATAGGTGCAGTACTACATCCAAATATCTGTACAACTGTTCTTTATGTTGTGGCTTAAACCAACTGAATTTTATTTTAGTATTGCATTTTGGGTTTGTATTTTCGATGTGTATGAAAAAAAAAAAAGTTTTCTAGTTTCATTTGTTGAATAAATAATAAATTACAGCCAAGTTGATCGGGTTATTGATTTGGTAACCCAAGGTTCCAAGTTCAACACCCAATCCAGTGGGTAACCTAGGTCGGTTAGGGGTCAGAAGACAGTATTTACTCAGTGCATAATAGTTGCAGGTTTTTCTCGTCAAAAACATTTATGGAAAATGCATACAGATGTAGTTACTATAATAGAGCTGCTCAATTAGTGACAAAATTGATTGCATAGTCTTGAAGCTATGCCCAAAAATGATTGGTTTCTTGTTCTACTACCATCTTGAAGCTAATCCTGTAAGAGACTTCTTTCTTCTACCCATTTTCTAATGAATGAAATAAGCTTTCATTTTATGTCAATGGAAAAAATAGTAAAATACTGAACTGGTAATTTTGTGAAAAGAAATAGCTGTGTAGCATAAATGACTGCAATTGTGGCAATCAGAAAGGGATGTAAGTCTGTAATATTCAGGTGAGATTCATAAATAGGTAAGAAAAAAACTGACACATTTTCTGAATCTAATGTCCTCCATTTTCATTCTTGAGGAAATACAGATTTGCAGGTGTCAAGGGAAAATTCTGGGTGGCAAAACGCAGCGCTTGCTATCGACTTGTCTTCATCAAGAATGTCAAGAAAGTTGGTTGTTTTCTGCACATTGCAACATTCTTGATTTCATAAGCATCAATGTCATACATAAAGTGCTTCATTTTCTTTTTCTTTTTCTTTTTCAGCAGACAAATATATAACACACAAAAGTTGAATTTTACCATGCTATATGATCCTCTGATGTGACCCACAAGAACAAGCTCCATCTCGCAATCATGTAGATCTTCATTGTTTCCATCAGGTATGAAGGTTTGCTAGAAAAAGTAGAAAAGGCACATGAAATAAATTACTGCCCACAAAGAAAAATATATCACAAGTATAATCGGGTTTTTCACTCACAATATTTCTATTTGAACTGCAGCTGTCATTTTCCCATCCAACGCTGACAACAATCTTCAAGAACTCGTTGGACTCGATCTTTGCCCATCCAACATAAATTCCAAAAACTTGATCAGGTAGATCAGCCAATATATCATCTAAACACAGCAACATTCATTTGTGAGATACACATATGCCACTGCTCATACATCACGTACAACCAAATAAGTTTGTACTTTTTATACATTTTTTCTTATACATCAGGATGGATGGGTGGATAAACGAGAATGTTTTCTATATTGAAGAAAATTCCAGATAAATTTGGCAAGTAATGCAACCATGGAAGCAACAATATGAATCTATTTTCCAGAAAAGAGTAGTGAATTAGAGATCGAGGAGGTGTCATAGACCTGTAAATTCACGGAGGCGTCCATTGCTGTAAAAACCTTTGAAAAAAACAGGCTCAACAGGCAATACATTATCTATACCTGCGATAATTACATGAAAATCAAAACATCAGACAAGCAAGAAAATTGGGATTACAAGCAGAGGGTGGATGTGTTGGGCAAGAATTATACAATCTCCAAATGGCGGGAGACCCCAAAGTTCGGGCTGTAACTCAAGAATCGAATGAAGCACAGAATCAGCAATAGAATACTGATCAATTTCGGTTTGTACTGATGGCACAGCAACTACCTTCATTCCAGCAGCCTTTCCAGCTTTAACACCGACACTGTAAAATTGAACTACAATTACAACTTCGCACAATCATGTAACATATACAGCAGTCCTCCCAAGCGAAAATAAACCGAAAAGAAGAGAAAGAAACTTGTTTTGACGGGTAGAAATGGAGTACAGCTATATTTTATGGCTCCATACAAGACATTCTTCTATTAAGGAAGTAGCTCAATGTAGCGCAAGCTTTGCAAGAAAGTACATGAAGTTCAAATTTAACTTCACTTGAATACGAAGAAAACTTACACAGAGTCCTCTATCACAAGACAGTCAGCCGGATGCACATTCATCCTGCTTGCAGCTTCCAGAAATCTATTGACAAGAGGTATTGAAAAAGCAATCAGTTGCAGAAATACGTATTAGGATAATGCTTTTGTCATCATCTTACATGTCTCGGCCTTAAAATACTACTTAAGAAACTCCTGAGCAGAGGGAATATAATTACTTCATCCATAAAATGAACTTGTTAACTTACATGTCTGGCTCTGGTTTCCCTGCTCTAACCTGGTCACTTCCAAGAATTACTGCAAAGCGTTCTTTCCAACCTATAAAAATTGGAGAATTAAAAATTAAAAGAAACGACATCAAATTGAATAACAAACAAATGATTACTGAGAACATCACAAGTGCAAGTGATAGACATGATTTCATGGTAAATATAATGTGATCTTGTTCAGTAAGAGAAGAAATCACAAATGAACACATCAATAAGCAAAGAGAGTTCAAAGCAAAGCTTTTTGGTTAATCATTGAGGCAGTTGTATAGAGAAAGCCAACTGAGAAGTTCCAACATCAAGGTTTAAGGAATCCCATTAAGAAAACGCCTGAGTACCTTCATGATAAGCGAGTTTCCCATCTATGTTTTTCCTTAGGGAATTTGAAGCAAGTGCAATGGGAATTCCTTGCTTATGAAGATGTGCCATAAGGCGATTGGCTCCAGGAAGTGCTTTTGCTAGCTGCCACCTAACAAAAACAAATTGTAGAAACAATATCTGTATAAAACTAATGCCAGTTGAAATTTGTCAGCATATATACAATTTCAAACATATTAATGCTAAAACCAGAAAGAACTTCACGTATAGCAAAATCTACACTCTGTGATACTTGAGCTCATATGCTTAATTACAATCAGATGTCAAACTTCTCATTGGATGAACATCATATCAACGTCATTACTATCTAATACAGTCATCAGGTTACTTGGAAACATAAAACAAGCACATATATGGCATGTAATCCATGTATAACTTTCAGAATCGATACACTCCATTCTTCAATCATAATTGCAATTCTTTTATCAAAATCTCATCAAAATATTTTAATTTAAGTCAGAGAAAGTTGACTCATTGATGGGGTGCTCAGTTGATAAAAGCTGTCTAGTAAGTGTATGCAGATATCATATACCTACTTCTATAAAACTAAAACCAGATTGTGTAATAAATTATAAAGATAACATTTTTCTAAAAAAGTAAAGTTGAATTCATATTGTGTAAGAGACTCACTTTCCCTGATAAAAGGGTAAGATGTCTTGAATGTATTGATGAGGAGAAAGTGGAAGATCATAATCTTTGATAATGGCACTGACAGACTGTTTCTGAGTCATCCCCAATCTTTTAATCTCCTTCTCCTTATCTGGTACTTTCCCATATATACCCAAATATTCCTTCAAAACCCCCTTCGTTACCTGCTCTGCAACCCCATAATCACACACCCAAAAAAAAAAAAAAACAATCTTTATGTCGAAACAAACACAGAACTCATTCGAGGAAACAGATAAAGAGGAAAAGGAGGACCTGTGTTCAAAAGGGTACCGTCCAAATCAAATATGACAGCTGAAATCTTGTGGGTTTCATTGTTGTCATGTGTAGGTGCAAGATCTCCCATGGCTTTGCCCGAATTTGACGTGCCTGCGTGAGGAGAGGATGTATTGAATTGGGGGATTCAAAGGGAAGTTTGATTCTAGTGTTCAATTGGGCAAAAAGTAGTTAACATCCAGCACAAAACCAGTGGAGAGGGAAAAGGGGAGAGAATTCCCGCCTTATTAATGGAACGTCGGCTCACAAGTGTCAATTACGGGGACTACTACTCTTCTACCACTGTTCTGGGATCAGTTTTGGCATACAATACGAATATTCCATTATTTTTTTAAAAAAAGTTTTTTTGCACTTTTCCTTCCTGAGTTGTCGAAACGGGCCGACGAAGTAGGGCCCGCCAAAATACGGGCCTAGGGATAGCGGTCGGCCCCGCCTCGAATTATTTTAAAACATAATTGTATTATCATTTAAAAAAGAAAACAAATTTAAATAGAAACACGAACTTGGTAACAAAAATTCAATCAACTCTTTTCATTTTTCTAAAATATTTTTAATTAAAAAAAATTGATGTATCATCAAAATCAGCTATAACCAAAAGTTCATTAAAATCAAATATATTCCCAGTATTTATATTTTTCAAGATCAAGTGCTTATTTTAAATTTTTTTGAGCTCAATGGATTAATTATATTTTTAAAAAAATCAAGAATATATTTTGTTGACTCAAAGATTTTGTCAAAGTTATGTGCAAAAAGGATTCCAGTTCTATGAAGGAATACCAGTCCTAAAAGGAATAAATATTGAAGAATACTAGTTCTAAGAGGAATAACATTGAAGATTTTCTAGTTCTAGTTTGAGTTAGAAGTAACTATTATAAATAGGGGTTGTCCTTATCACAGAGATCAAGCATTCAATATTAATCTTGTGAGGTATGAGAGTCTATGAGAATATGATACTAAGTTCCCCTAGAAAGTAGTACATGTGTTTAGGTTTCAATAGTTTGGTAGGAAAGATCATTCTATTGTGTAATCTCAAGTTCCAAATAGTGTACTTAAAATATTGAGCTTTTAGTGGATTTAGGCAAGTTCTCAAATTGAGAAGTGCCTCGCAGATTAGGGTTGTTTGCCCGAACTACGTTACAGATTGTTTGGATTACAACTTCAGTTTTGACATCATGCTGTGCTTTTATAAATTTCATATTTGATGATTATTATCAAGTGGCTTGTGGTCCACTGGTATCGAAATGCTCCCTTATGTGGGAGGTTTAGGTTTTGAGCCTTGTTGTAGGCGTAGTTTGTATGGGTATCCCCCTTCCTTTGTAATAATATTTGATGATTATTTAAAAAAAAAAAAATCACACCTCAAATTCTTATTTTGAGAATAGCCAACAAGTACCAACATAAAAAGGGGAAGAGTAAGATTTTAGTGGGAACATCTATGTGTATTCCAATTGCTTAGTGGTCTGAGAACATTGCTATACTTTTCTACTAATATTTTACTTTATTCGCCAATCGAATCTCCTTTACAAAACAACTAATATTACTAGTACTAAAAAAAACAACTAATATTACGAGTACTAAAAATAAAATTAAAACCAAGTACCTTATAACCTGACAACATTACTGATATCTTCCATAAAGAAAGTTTCAAGTTTGAAACCCATCCAATCATGAAACTCATTTAATATCAGCACAACAATGGAGCAGATATGTAATATGTTCTCTCATATAACCCAAAAATGCTCAATAAACAACTCATACACTAATATCACTAAAATTTTGCTTTCTGTACATTATTCACTCATGGATTAAAAGATATTTGTTCACAAAGTAGGAATATAGAAGATCCTTAACTGGAGCGTTATAGACTATTGGTGTTATGGATATCATTATTCACCATAACTACGCCAAAACCAAAATTGTGCTCTACTTATTATCATAAAAGAGAAGAAGAAATTGTTGAACTATAAGGCTGAGACAACATGCGAACAGCTAAAATGATCAGTTGGACTCTGGTAGTCTTTTGAAAAAAAAAATAAAACCACCTATAGGCCAAAACCAATCTTCTAAACACTATACGAGGAGGAAAGGCATGGGGATGCATGCAGCAAATCACACACCTTATATCAACATCCGACATGAAAAACAAAACAAGTCACAACAAGACACGACAGTCGATATCTATAATGTTTTAAGACATACATCGCCAGGTGCATCCTCAGCCACCCCCTTCTCCAGAAACACGTGATGTTCTAATCATCTTTAATACTTCACTGCAAAGAGAACAACACACATAGGCATTGTCAAATGAGAAGGAAATACAATATCAAAAATCACAATGGAGAAGAGCATTATGAGATGTCTGACAACCCACCTCTGCATCCCCAGCTCCTCCCGCTTTTTTTGCAGCATCCCCTGTTTGGGTATCTTCTGTTCAAATTTGAATGTGAACATTTTTGTGATAATATCAAAGGACAATTTCTGCTATCCATGACTTAATGAAATAAAATTCTGGTTATTATAAAAAGTTTTTTTTTTTAAATAAAAATAATAAAACACATAAGGGGCTCGGGCACACCCAAGGTTGCATTTTTATGATCATTACTCTGAAAGAACAACAAATAAAGCAATATGTGCTAAATGAGATTATATTCCATGGCACTAGCCATGTGCATATAAATATCAAGCTCAATATTTCCAGTCAAATATTATCTCCTTCAAGGAAGCAAAAAATTCCTAAATTGGAATTTGGAAAAGCAACCAATGCAGTTGTGACAAATGGCCAAAGACCTTACCAGAATGTCCGAAATACAACAAGCTAGGTTATTGAAAGGCCCACTACTTTTACTACAAAGGTTCTCTTTCTTCATAAGCAGGGTTCCCAAAAGAATGGCGCAAGTACATATTAATACCTAAACATGAATTACCTCAAGTCTACAACTAAAGCTCAATTAAAGAGAATGAGTTTTAATGCTACTTTTATACTCCGTATGTAGATCTTCATCTTTCCATGTATTGATCCCAATTACACCAATGAAATGGCTTAAGGTTCAACTTTGAAAACTGTTACTACATATTAAATAGAGTTAATACCATCTGAGGTCCTCCGAGTATAGTGGTTTTGTCACATTTAGTCCTAAACTTTCAAACTGACCATCTGTGGTCCTTCGACTTTCAAATTTAACCATTCGTGGTCCAAGTTAACCACCCATGGTCCTTCAACTATTAAATTTTAACCAACCATGGTCCTTCAACTTTAGAAATTTAACCAATCGTGGTCCTCTTGAAAGGACCCCGGTTGGTTAAAATTTAATAGTTGAAGGACCATGGGTGGTTAACTTGGACCACAAATGGTTAAATTTGAAAGTCGAAGGACCACAGATGGTCAATTTGAAAGTTTAGGACTAAACGCAGCAAAACCACTATACTCGGAGGACTTCAGATGGTATTAACTCTATTAAATACTATAAGGTGGCATCATTTACTACCAATTTATTTCTACTATATTTCTCTAAGGGAGTTGATGCAATGTAAACTATATAGTATATATATATGCATAATTTTATTTCTTTGGAAGTGCATGTTTCAAATTCTTGCATGTTAAGGTACAGATTTTTATAAGTTGATAAAATGAAAAGACTAGGTATAGCTAAATTGTTTCTGAACTCAATACATAGAAAAAGGGGTGGTATACTGAGTTCAACTCAAGCATATGAAATTAAGAACATTTGTTAAAATATTAGGCATCAAGAAATGATTTGGAAAAATTAGATTGCATAGAAAATGAATGACATCTTGAGAAAACTAAATGTATTTACCAGCATCCTCCGGGATGTCAGAGGTCCATAAGGTAAGATTGTCCCTCAGAAGTTGCATTATCAAGGTGCTATCCTTATATGACTCCTCATTGAGGGTATCCAGCTCAGAAATTGCTTCATCAAAAGCCTGCTTTGCAAGGTGGCAAGCCCTAAATATAAAATTAAAATAAATGATTCAGAATTATCCCAAAAAAAAAATAAAAAAAAAAATAGTGTTCCAGCAGATTAGTAACATATTATATACTCAATCATAAAAATAGACTATGCCATTATGGCCAAGACAATGATTGAGAAAAGAGAACCTTTCAGGGGAGTTCATGATCTCATAGTAGAAAACAGAGAAATTCAAAGTCAAACCCAGGCGAATGGGATGTGTAGGTGGTAAATCAGCCTCTGCTGTAGTGGTAGCAGCCTGTAATAAGTAGAGGAAAGATTAGGGGCATAGGAATAATCATGCATACACTTAGGCAAACACCATAAGACATGGAGAGAAATAGGAATCGAAGAAGAAGAAGAAGACAGAAAAGAAAATGAGGTAGATTTTTATATTAAATGCCAGTTGAGAACTATAACAAAATATAGCTTTTGCTCACATAAGCTTTCTGGTTTGTTTGAACTTTGAAGCATAAACAAGTAAATGGAAAAGTAAAGTAAAAAAGATTCAATAGGTTAACAATATTCTGGAGTGAGATATTAAAAGATATTCTGTATTCCAGATCAAATTTAACCAAAATTCAACTAAGTATCTTTCATCATACAAATAAATCCAGTAAAACTTACTTCTACTATGTCAGCCATCAGGTCAATAAAATCTTTAAGAACTTTACATTCTTTTTGCAGCTATTAAAATCTTATGTTTAGAACATCAATATGTTTTCTTAAAGTTCCAATGTCTCAAAATGAAATCAAATTTTGAACCGACTGGTTTGTTCACACAATCCAAAAGAAGTGATACTTTGATTGCATAATGAGCATGAGGCCCTCAACTTAAAATGATAACTTTGACACAGTGGAAACTGATTACTAAACTTGACACATTAAATAAATACCCCACCCCCACCAAAAAAAAAAAAAAAAAAAAAAAAAAAAAAAAACAGGAAAGTGTGAAGTCATGAAGAACAAGTACTAGAAATTCTATACCTGATACGCTTTTAGTGAAAGATCAGCAACCTCTCTCTTGTCATCACCAGTTTTGAATTCTGCAAGATACCGGTAATAATCCCCTTTCCTGCAGCCAAAAGTTAAAACAAATGAACAACTATTCAAAATAGGAAAACATCAAAGGCAAAATTTGATAGAAACAGTCAATAAAAGTTCAAGTAAATCTCTCACATCTTATAATAGAAGACATTTGATTCACCAGTAGTACATGCTGGGATAAGATGCTCATCTATCAAAACCATGATATCATTGCAGATGTTGGTAAGCTCAGTCTCCACTTTTTGCCTGTACTCCTTGATCCTCTTAACATTCTGCCCATTCCCTCTGGACTCTTCCTTTTGCTCAATGGATGACAAGATCCTCCACGACGCTCTCCGAGATCCCACCACATTCTTGTACCCAACAGAGAGCAAGTTTCTCTCTTCCACACTCAATTCCAAATCCATTTTTGCCACATCCTTCAAGGTATCCACCATTTCTACCAAAGTTCAGAACGGATTTTCCTAATTAGATTTACTTAAAAGACTGAAAAATAAATAAATATCCCACTGCCATTCCAATTCCTATAGATAGTAGTAAACATGTTCTTTTAACTTGAATTCAAAAAGTTGTTAGATACGGAGAAGTAATTATAATCAACAAAGAAGCTGCAATGTAAAAGTTATGGAAGGTCGAAACAATTCGGATCTTTCTATTCTTTTGGATCTTTTAAGCAGAACAAACTAACAAATCAAGAAAAGAAAAAAACAACAACAATAACAACAAAAAAGAGATCTGCATCTAAATACATACATAAAACGTGCATATACATACAAATAAACACATATTGACGGAGAAATAGAAAGGTGGGGAGTGGGAACCCTAACCATCGTAGCGCTCAGCTTGTTCAGCTAGCCTGGCGAGATAGACGAAGTTATCGCGATCTTTGGAAGCCATAGCTGATCGGTTTCAGAGGTTTTTGGCAGGTAATAGGGTTTAATCGACGACGAGATTTGACTGGCGAAGCAAATGAACAAATTTGAGCGAATATGATGTACGGACATTATAATATTATTACTACTCCGTACTATTTTATATGCACAAAAATATTGTGTATCCATGTGGACATATGCATGGTAATAATAATGTGAAAAAATAACAGAACTACAAAAATTATAATGGTAGGGTTATTTTTATCTAAAAAATAATGTAGTATAATTTTGTATAGCATAAGGTATAAAATGAATTAACAGAAAAAACGGACATAAACTAAGGTATAACTTAGATTGAAACTTATTATGTTTTTAGATTTAGATTTGAGAAAACTGGCTGTGATGATTGCGAATAATTTCAGTATACCCCATCAACTACTTTTGTCTATCAATTTGACCCACTTGAAGTCTAATTTTTTTCTGCAAGCTCTCTTTGGATTATAATTTTTATTAATTCAGTTTATAACATTATATATACTATAGGGTTTGAATTTTAGTCAGAATTTTGATTAGCCAGCATTATATTATATTAATAAGAATTATGTGATGTAAAGTCTGTTTAAACTTTTAAATTATGAATTTGGTCAATAGTAAGTAATAAAGTGTTCAATTTATTAGTTGAATCATTTGTGTTTCGTGATGATGAGTCAAACTTGTGCTTAAGATGAAAGAAACTCCTCTACAACTCATTGTGATGACGACTTTAATGGGTAGAAAAATAAGAAATGGATGAAGCAAGGAATTATTAAATTTAAAAGGTTATTTCTTTCGTAAATTTTACGTTCAAATAACGAAAAAATAGAGTAAAAAAAAATGAAATTACTACATGCATTCATGTTTATTGCAAGTTAGTTAGTAGGTCACATAACGGAACAAGAATGGAGATTCTCATCGCTGAAAGTATTATCTGTTTGGTTACTAAAAATGTTGCTAGAGTTACATCGGCTTAACCAGAAGTCTATAACGAGCGGTCAAAGTTATCATAGTCATGATTGTAGTAGTTGTAGGACAAAGATGGCGACTTAGAGGTGCAACGAAAAGTCGCCGACCCAGTGTAACCCTATTGATGATAATAGTAATCGGTGATGTGATTGTTGTGATTCATCATCTCATAGTTAAAAGGAAATTGTCAAATCTCAACTCTCCAACGAGTTGTTCTCAGGGCCTTTTTTATGGTCATCCCATATGATTACGTTCACTTTTTGCATTGCCATGTACCATCCACCCCTAAATATCACAATAATTTCAATAACTACTCAATACCCTTGATTTCAAAACTCTACTATACTCTATTAGTATTATTAATCACTCAATAAAGAAACGTTTAAAGAAATATGTTACTCCGATGGGTAACCCATCAAAGTTGGTTAGACTATTGATTTGCCAATCATACGATTATAAGTTTGACTCTCAACGGGAGTGGCCTATTCTTAGTTTGAGTTGGTCAATCATGGACAACGTAACCTAAGCTGATTTACTTCTTTGTGGTCGGAGTTATCCAGTGCATACCCTTAAGTAGTGGATACGAGTTTCCCTGGTCTATTAAAAAAAAAAAAGAAATATGTTCTCCGTATTTACACTTATTTTTACATCAGTTAACTAACCTAGAAATAAAAAAAAAAAAAAAAATTATTTTTGCTCTTTTGGAGAGTTTTTCTAATCTTGCTCTCACATCCCCCACAAATCTATATGTACTCGCATCTATATGACCTAAGAGCAACCTCAACAATGAAAAATTTTTAGTGACTTTTTCAGAGCCATGTAGGGGAGAATGGAAAGAGTGAAGAGAAAAAATGAAAGAAATAATATATATATATATATATATATATATATATATATATTTTTTTTTTTTTATTTATTTATTTATTTATTTATTTATTTATTTACGCACCCAGTATAGCAATGTATGTGTCATACTGTGGCAGTGTGCACACGCACAGATATTGCGGTGACTTTTTTCTATTTTCTCCTTAAATGGTCTCACAAAAATATTGTATTTACGAAAAAAAAAATCAACAAAAATCTCATTCCATTCGTTAAAAATCTCACCCTATATATTTTTTTTTAAACCCCACCCCCAAAACCATGTGGTTGCCCTAATTATGACTATCAAAGTACATTAGGTAAATTCACAATGGCTTGTTGGATAATGATCTGAATTAAACAAAGTAAAATTGTAAATTACTCAATAAATTCTTTTGGAAATTTTTAGCTAAAACAACATTTTGAATAGTTATTTGTGGTATAATTTGAAATCTCCCCAAGATTGTGAAAAAATTGTCATCCTATTTAACTATTTTTAAGAAAGTGATGGGATGGGTAATGATAATTGCTAAATGTGTGGTGATAAGGTAGCTCATGCGGCATGTGCATGCTTTAGCCTATGTCTCCCATAATTCAAACCTTTGACATTTTTTTTGGGTAGGGAAACCTTTGACATTAATGTTGTTTGCCATTGCCTATACTATACCCATGACGACTTCAATGAGTAAATAAATATGAAAGGGAAGAAGGAACGAATTATTAAATTTAAAAGGTTACTTCTTTCATAAATTTAATACTCAAATAACGGGAAAATGAAGTAAAAAAGTAGAATTATTACATGCATTCGTTTCATGTTTCTTGAAGGTTAATTGGCAGTTCACATAATGGAACAAGAATGAGGATTTTCGTCACTAAAAGTACCGCCGATTCTACTACCAAAAATGTTGCCGGAGTTACCGCGACCCAATCGAAATGAGCGGTCAAAGTTATCGTAGCCGTGCTTATAGTAATTGTAGGACGAAGATGGCGGCTGAGAGGTACTGTGAAAAGTTGCCGGACCACCGTAACCTTGTTGGGGATAATAGTTACCAGCGACAGCGACATGATTGTTATGATTTATCATCTCAGGGTTGTTAAAAGGGAACTGCCAAATCTCAGCTCTTCGTCCGGTCTTTCTCACGGTCTTGAGAACCTTTTTCTGGTCAGCCCATCCTGTGACAGTTACCTTTTGCATTGACATGTCTATATCTACTTCATCCACCCCTGAAAATCACAATAATTATTTCATTAATTACTCACCACCTTTGACTTTAAAGCTTCATTACTAATCTATTACTATTATTAATCATTCAACCAAAAGATCATATCCGAGGTTTAAATAAATATTTTACTTTCACTTATTTTATCAACGGTTAACAAACGTACAATAAAAATTACCTTTGAGTTTTTGAAGAGCCTTTCTAATTTTGCTCTCACATCCACCGCAATCCATATGTACTCGCATCTCTATGACCTAATTATGTCAATTCAAATACATTAGGTACATAAGTACATCCAAAATGCCTTGCTGAACTAGGAATTAAACAAAGTAAAATCATAAAACATAACACATTATAATCAATTGACTATTAAGTCATAAAACTCTTTAATTGAACAATCAACTAATCAAAACACGTTATGATGTCAAACTAGATATTCACGGCATGAATACTAAAGCATTACTCGAAAAAGAAAAGTTACACTCTAATTGGATCCATTACCGTCATCTTTGAGAAGTGAGTCTTCAATACTTTCCTTCTTCTGTGTTGCAATACAAACTGCAGCGAAGATATATTTCAGTATGTATAAAACTTGGGTGAAATGGAAGGTCCTTTTCCCCTGTATATATAGATAATATAGATAGACCTTTCATTATTTTTGGATAAATTATGGTTGGGTCATTTAATTGGGAACTTGTGAAGTTATGGCCTTAAAAAATTAGTTTTTGCACCGACTTTTTCCCGTTTACTAAATTTGCAGCAAGGGAACGGTACGGTTGCGTTGCTCACGCGGCATGTGCATTCTTTAGATGCCATGTGGGTTGTGGGTTTTAAGAAAGTGGACGGTATGGGTAATGCTTAATGTGTGCTAAGTGCACGTGAGAAGGTAGCTCATGCTTTAACCTATGTCTCCCAGGGTGGACGCTTGAATCACGGAATGAAAATAAAAGAAATATAAATAGAATTTTAAAAAGAATGGAATAGATAAGAAATATAATACGAATGTTATTTTATATTTGATTGAACTACAAAATTACATAAGTGATGTGATAAATACATCAAGTTATAAGAATATGTCTATGTATTGATTATAGTAAGTGAATTCAGAAATTAATGACAGTGAGGTGGACGTTCCCGGGCTAGTGTAGATTAGGTGAAACTCCAAGAGTCCCTCTCCAAAGCATTAATAACAGGGCGTTTGGTTGGAGGGATTTTAAATTCCCTTCCCACTTAATTCCCACCTAATTCCAAAGGCCATTAAATTCCGTAGTTTGGTTGGAGGGAATTGCAATTCCCCCATTTTCATGGAATTAAAATCTCATGTCCCCCCTGGTATTTTAATTCCTGGGAAAAAAAAGATAGTGATGAGTCAAAATTACCCATTCCTTTTTTAACCTAAAATTAATGTCTAGCAACAATAATGGACATTTTTGACTTTATACTACTTATTCCCTTTCAATTCCCATGTATACCAAACATTGGAATTGAAATTCCCAGTAATTCTATTCCTGTCAACCAAACACTGGAATTTAAATTCCCACTTTATTCCCAGTAATTTCACTCCCATGGAATTACAATTCCTTTCCCACATAATTCCCCCCCTCCAACCAAACGCCCTATAAATGCACCTTATATAGAGGGCTAAAGGGAACACATGCCGATGGGGGAGGGGGTGGGGGGGGGGGGGGTCGAGGGCATTGCTGCTAGACCCATGTGTATAAAGATTCCTGACGTGTCCGTTCCAAGTTGGGCTTGTCCTCTAGAATAGGAAAAGTGTTCCTGCTCGGGATATTCGATCCATGCCTCATGATCGAGATTATGTAACATATGTTTGCCTATGTTAACTGTAGACACATTTTGAACCAGAGCCCATAATGCATGGTAGACACTGGTCCATGATATAACAATTGTGCAGGGGATAAAATGGAGAAAAACAAGCCTGGGATTATGAAGATAAAAGAATGGAGAAAAACAAGCCTGGGATTACAAAGATAAAACCGTGTCTCTATATTTTCAGTTAATTATTCAAACAAAACATTATT